TTAAGTTATAATTCCCTTTGAGTCAAGCTAATAGAATTTTGATGATGAAGAATTTTAAAAAAAAGAATATCATAGCAATATAAAATTTTCAAGAAAGTATTGTGGAAACAATTGTAACAGAAAGATATTTTATGAATTACCTAGTTAATATAGACTCATATATGTATTGAAAATTTTAGTTTAAAGTTTAAAATCTGTGTAAAGTGTAAATTTAAAGGTATATCAGTAAAGTATATAGAATTTCCTCTCTGTGGTGAAGAAATTACTTTGGTAATGGAGTAGATCAAATTATCAAAACCTGATCTACGACTTATTGTGCTAGCTACAATTATTTTAATGACTTTGATATTTAAAAACTGAAAAAAATACAATTATTCCCAATTTGATGCCAGTGATGCTGAAAGTTATAATGGTGAACAACAAAGGCTAAATCTTTTATTCAGATTAATAATTGGTTAAATGGATATATACCATATCGGCTTCTGGGTTTTGACATGGGTGATACATGTACACATAAATAAAAGTAAAGAGCTCGAAAATAAACCTAGTCTTGTGTGCACTTGAGCATAATTTAGATTCAATATTTAAGAAATGGAAAAACAACAAAATTTAAATCTATTTATTAATTTAGTGGTAATACGATGTGTGAATATGTTTTATGATTTATATTTATAATACTTTGTAAGAGAATTAACATAATCTTATGAATGAAAAGCAAAGAAAGTTAAATCCTGACAGGGCAACAGTGAGATTAATCCAAGCTTTCATTAATCAGGGTTTGTTCACACAACAATTTTATACACAGGATTTCTGCACTTTGTTGATTTATGTGAAGCATTTAATACAAACCAACATTTAACAAAAGTTAATCCATTTATATTGTGTTTTCAATTTATCAGGCAATATTTATTGTAAAACTTTAATAAATATATATTCTAGCTTTTCCAATCTGCTAAAAAGAATATAAATTAATAATGATCCTTTGTAAGTACTTGCTATGGTATATAAACAATCAGGCATTTTTAAAAAATTAAATATAACTTTTTGAGCACTGTGCAATGTAAATATATAGACCCTTAGAAGCATCCATGGTAGTTGCTAAAAAATCAAATTGTAATAAATTTTATGAGACTTGCCTTTTAACATGTGTTTAACAATTTTGTAAAAGTGGTGTCTTAAATTAATTTTAAAGATACACAATTGAAATAACATGTAGGTATTTTTCAACTTTTTAAAAAAAATTATTTTACTAAAGACCCATCTGGTCTGGTGTCATCTGATATTATGCAAATTGTAAAGAAAAAAGCTATTTAGCACATACATTTGTATTCAAATTTCTTCATTCATATGATAAGGGTTTTTTTCTTTGAAATTACATGTACCCGGTACTTACTTATTTCGTACTTACCATAGACAATCTGAATGTGCATTAATTTTTAGGGATTCCAATATCAAGAATGGATGTGTGGTTGTGACATATCTTATCATACTGAGAGTAATCTAACACTGTTGGTGACTTATTCACCATATATGTATGTACAATTGTACATCTATATGTACAGGGACATACTGATTTCTTTTTTCAAAGGGAGTCCAAGGAGGGGGAGGGGTAATTATAAAAAGCCAAAAAAAAAAGAGACTTGCAAAAAAGCTAGTATAAAAGTTGGGGGGGGGGCATTGTCACAAGCAGTTACTAAGGTTTTGTGTCCATCCTATTTTTCACTGTATATTGCCAGTCTAAATAGGAGATATGGTTTTATTGACAACTAATACACTGTATTAAAATATTTTGATCATGAGATGTACATACTCTTTAAAAATACCTAGGAATATAAAGGCCTGTAAGAAAAACAACAGTCAGATGCTGGAGTTGGAATTAGAAGTTGTGTTATCGAACTTATCTTAATTTGTTTTATTGGATGTTACATGTTCAGAATCTGTAAGCAAATTGTTTTAGATCAGAAATAGCTGTAGAACTTATACATTCTGGCTAATAGAATACTACAGATCGACCCAAGCAGTGATTGCTGTTGGCTGAATTGGTAATACATGATGTTATTATCGATAAGCTTTTTGCTTCTCATTCTGTAGATCTGTGCTTCTTTTTGGCAAAGGAAGATTCATAATGTATCAGTGTTCAATTTCAAGAGACTTTTTCTGGTCTATCTTGGATTCATTCATTGCAATCATAAAACAAGTAAAGTGCAATGGTATCCAACTTACAGAGACACAGTTTTTATTTAAAAATCATATAACAGTACCAATACCTGAATGCATTAAAAATCAATTGAAATTTGGCTCCTGGTTTTTTATCAAGTCAGGATTTTATAAAAGAAGCTCTCTATGAGATAATTATTGCTGTTTTTGTGTCCTCTACACCTGTAGTATCAGAAATGAATTTGTATCATGCGCGTCCTTACACTATTTCATACAGGATGTCATTTTGTAGAACAGTTAGATGGCATCCATTATGTTCATAAAAAGACAACTTGACAGATAGAAATCTGACAGAACATTTGTAAGATTTTGAAGACTGTCTGCCAAGTTTACATAAAAGTTTTCTATTCATGACAGCAGCTAGAAAAAGTTCCCAGTCAGCATGGATCTCTCATTACTTTTAAACAATTAACAGTCATTTTAAGAAAATCAAAATCCTGTCTAAAACCTTTTCAATATTATTGTATAAGACTTATGTCAGAGTTTAATGAAAACATGTGTAGTCAAAAGGATAAAAACTTTTCTCTCCCATATGAGTATAATGGTGAGGTGCATTCTTCAATTGGCTGTACGCAAAAAGAGACTCAATCTGTTAAAGATTGAATTTTAATTTCATTTAGGGGTCTGGAAGGAGTCCATTATCAAAATGGGTACCCTCTATATCGGCTATTATGACACAGTCCATGTTTTCGCTATGGGTAACCCGAAATATCGACCAGATCAAAATGTCAAATAGGAGAAGCACAATGGCACTACATAATAAAGATTCAATGAAATTAAGTCTCATAAAATTTTATTCAATGGTTTAGGAGGAGTTGTGGATAAGAAATGGGTACCACCAGTATTATAGAAAGAATTGCTGTGTCCTAGTTTGCTATGGAAAACATCAAATATGTATCCCGCCCTTGCCACCCCTGGCTTGCCACCCCTTAGCAAGCTGTTGATAAATAAGCCCTTTACTTGATTCATGTTTCATAGTTCTGACTGGGACCATTTTTATTTTTGCCAAAGGTTTTTCTCATAATTTTGGGACTTCAAGGAAAAACAGGATGATCAAGTTGAAAATTGTCTTGTCATTATTATTCATATAGCACCCCAATGGTTATAAGGATCTAGTATAGTCTATATTATTACTAGATCTGATCTATTCTTTAATATGAATGGTAAAAATACCATCTGTTGAAGAAATAATTATCATAAAAGTACAATGTGTCTGTATAAACAGCAGCACAAATTCTTTGAAGTGTTTGTAGAGGACTAGGATATCTATTTTATTTCTGATTTACATTTAAAGCCTTTTGCTCAAGATGTAAGTAATTGTGATAATCTTGCCCAGAAGCTATTAGAATAAAAATGTTAGATTTAGTAACTGGCCCATCTAGAGTACATTTTATACATCTACTGGTAATGTTTACAGATTTGTCTGAGCTAAATATCATTCTATGGAATTAATTAGAGATATGATACTGTAAATGTATCATATTTAGCATGTACGATATTTGGTGGAGATTCAATTTTCAACAAGTTAGCATAGATTTGATTTAGCACTGTCTGAATTTGCTAGATATGAAAGTTAATGTACAAGACATTTAGCAAAATTGAAAAATATAAAATAAAAGTTCTTTTTAAAAAAATTCGAATTAGCAATTTATTTATTATGGCCTTAGCGATGTTCTTGAATTAGCGGACTCTGCTTTCCACCAAAATCACTAAATAGAATACACCACTAAATGTAATACGTTTACAGTAATCTCTGAAGCTTAACCCTGATCATTTCATTTTGATGATGTCAAATCTACCCTATTTTTATTTTGTTTTTATACATATTCTTTTTGCATTTGTGCTGTGATCCCTTCAAAACTAGAGCATTTTTTCTGGGGGGAGGGGGGGGGTCACAGTGTTTGGTGGACAGGGGATGGGAAGGATTTCCTCTAAACTCATTCAACTGACTCAATAAGGAAAAACAAAACCAGCTAGATTGAAAAATTGTTTGATTGTCATGCATGCATCATCAAAGGAAGCTGTATTAATAATTACACATTATATTAATTCATGGACATGTAGATAATAGATCTACATGGTATACATGCATGGTAGATAAGTTAATGTGTCCATAATAAAGTGTGCCAAGTGTTGTCTATTATACCAGTAATGACAGACTTGATTAAAGACCCTTAAAGACGAGTTACAACACTGTTGTCAGGGGCAGGAACAGCTTTGGTGTCTCCTCTTAATGGGGGTTTCTTTACTCTCCTGTCACTATTTTTGTTTATTTATAGAATGTCACAGGTAGATTGAGGTCAAGTAAACATCTTTTGCTTTGCGTTTATTTGTCCTGGATATGGGACATTTCTGTATTCAATGTAATAGAGTGTACTTTTTTAAAGAAAAAAAAATCTTTGTTCAAAGATGAAATAATTACCTAGGTTGTGACAGAAAACACAATTGGAGACCCCTCAATCCCTTTTTCAGTTCAGATGTATTACCGGTAATTGCAAGAAATTTGCCTTTCAGAAATTTACAGTACTGAATCTACTATAAATAATGTGTACAAAAACTTACTGGTGTTTGATCTCAACTACAAGAGGTCAATTCACAAACCTTTGATGTTCTTCATTTGAATGCATTGTAGCACAAACTACCCTCTATCACCCCTCCCTCAAAAATTCCACCCCATCCCACCCCAGTGCCACACTTTTATCTATGGAAATAATGCCTATGCTTTTACTAACTGTTAATTTTTGCAATACAGTTTTAACATTCAGTCCTGATTGATTTTGTAGGTTTCCATTATTTTGGAGGATGGGGAACCAGGTGACCCTCTCTCTTTTTCTGTGGAGTCAGAAGAGAACCAGTTTAAGTTACCACAGACTGGTTCACTGTCACTGTATCACACCAGTAGCTTCCACGGCAGGGATACCCTTAATGTTACTGTACATCTGGTAAGTTTGATACCCTTAATGTTGCTGTACATCTGGTAGGTTTGATACCCTTAATGTTCCTATACATCTGGTAGGTTTGATATACTGAAGGTTACTGTCCATCTGGTAGGTTTGATATGCTGAAGGTTACTGTCCATCTGGTAGGTTTGATATACTGAAGGTTACTGTCCATCTGGTAGGTTTGATATGCTGAACGTTACTTATAATACATTTGGTAGGTTTGATACACTGAAGGTTACTGTACATCTGGTAGGTTTGATACACTGAAGGTTACTGTACATCTGGTAGGTTTGATACACTGAAGGTTACTGTACATCTGGTAGGTTTGATACACTGAATCTGGTAGGTTTGATACACTGAAAGTTACTGTACATCTGGTAGGTTTGATACGCTGAATGTTTCTGTACATCTGGTAGGTTTGATACGCTGAATGTTTCTGTACATCTGGTAGGTTTGATACGCTGAACATCACTGTACATCTGGTAGGTTTGATATACTGAATGTTACTTATAATACATCTGGTAGGCTTGATACACTGAATGTTACTGTACATCTGGTACGTTTAATACATTGACTGTTACTGTAGGTTTGATACAGCAACAGAGAGTAAGGGTTATTAAGTTGATGATAGCAAAGAAGACCTGGTGTGTGAATTTACAATCTTCTGTCATCTTTGCATCTTACATTAGATCCTTCAAATACAACCATCAGTGACCTCTGCCTTGATGTTAATGGCTATAGAGGATAAACTGAAATCTGTCACACATCTCAAATTAACACATTAGGTTTAGATGTTTTAAATACTACTATTGTAAGTGACCATGTCCTTGACCCTTGACCTTCAAATTTGTCATTTAAGCAAGAAAATGGCTTTTTGGAGATCACCAAATATTTGCAACACCATATTTTTGCAAGATAGAGAAAAAGAATGCCAAGAAATCAATTAAATTGTAGAGTACATTTATAAAAAGGGAAAGGAGGTGGATGGGTAGTTGGCTTAGTAATTTATAGTATGTAGATGTTTTGAGCTCTAGTGAATTCATATGGAAAACTTTGAATGAATTTCTGATGTGTGGCAATGTGGCATGCATTATAAATGACCATTTGTAGGAAATTCATTCTAAAAACCTCATTTCGGTTTACAACTTTTGAATAATTCATTTATTATGGCTAAAAGGTCATTGGTGTCTAAATAAAGTTGATAATTTCCTGAAAAATTGTATTAGTTTAGTACTACACACCTTGAGAGAAATATCATAATTTACATAAATTTCTCATAAGCACTATTTCAGGAGAAACTGGTGAATGAAAACAAGGAGTGCTGGCTCAGAAGGGTTCTGTTTTTTACCAAAAACAGCTTATGACACATAAATGGTCACATTTGAATAACAGGACCTTAATGGTGACGCAGATAGTGCACTTTCCTTTGTCTTTTTGCAGTATGAAATAAATATGAAATTGTAGTCTTGCCTTAAGATTGCCTAGCTTAAGTACAGTATCTTTTCCCTAAATGAACATTTGATAACTAAAGAAAGTGCCATTTGATTCTTGTACTGAATAAAAAAATGAATAATCTAAGACATGATACAGATCACCAAAAATTCCTGACACCTTATTTTCATGAGATGGGTATTTGGTATTTATAAGCCAGACACAATTTTCATGAATTCTGTTTATTGTAGTTTATCGGTATATATTTACTGATAAAAATAAACTTAAGAATAAAACATTTATTTTTGAGATACAGTCTTGCATAAATAAACAAAAAAAGTTGTCATAAATAATAATTAAGTAATTTACAGTAGTCAGACATCAATAATTTGCCAGTGTTTTGATTAATTGTTGGATAATGTATATATGCAAGAGTGTAGTTTTAAAAATTAACTTTCAGTTTAAATGTTGCATATGAAATCAGCAACATTTATTTTTTAGTCTGACCCCCAGCCCTGGGGTTCCGTGATGGTGTGGTGGTCCCTGTGTGTGGCTGTCCTGGTAGCCACCACCATCAGTCTGTACCAGGTGGTGCTGCAGTCCTGTACAGAAACCACAGACGATAAAGGTTTGTACTGTATAGCCAGCATTCTGAAATTTATTATTCCCCAGCATACTCAATATTCACTCAGTGACCTCAATAAATAGGTAATTGACAACTGATTCTTAATTATAAGGTCTGTAATAGGGCACTGGAAAGAGGAAGTTGTAATCTCCTGTAACTTTTATCATGTTTATGACTTTCAAAAAAGTTTTACCTATCCAATCCATTTAATAAGTGGGCATTATGTCATAAATATACATGTACCCTTATCAAATTCTAGGAAATGCAAATAGACTGGGAATGTCTGAGAGATATTTATTTATAATAAATTATGATCAGAGTGGTTTATAGAGATGTTATAATACATAGTTAAATTCTCTGAACCAAGTAAACACACAGAATATAAAATTCAGTCGGAGAGCAGAGCTCTTTTAGGTCAGAACAATTTAAGGATTGTGTTTTTTTGATTAGAGGGATGGGTGAACAGTAAATAAGCTGTGACAAGATAACTTCAACTCTGACACAAAAAATTCCTTTAGTGCACACGCAGTGCAGAAAGATTTTGTGGTCAAAGGGAGATAACTTCTAACACAGTAGTGGAATTTTATGTAATTTTGGTTACTTTATTACGTGACTCACAGATTTTAAGGCATGATAAAGTTTAGGTCATAAAATACTGAAAACTGAAAAGCAGGTGGAAAATGGAAATTTGAAATACAGGATCCTAGTTTTTTTGACTAGAGTGCATATTTGTACCTAGTATCTCATATACTCAGATATAGACTGCAGATGTTCAATAAAACAAAACAATTCCATGCAATCATTTACACATCTGGAAGACCATCTTCTGACAAGCAAATTATGTAACAATTCTTTAAGTTAAGTTTTTATAGAATGTTTTTATGTTCTGTTTGGGGAATTCCCAATAAAATGAAATTTGTCTGTTCAGGCTATTTGATAAAAAGAGGATACAAATTATCATAACATAAAGTGACAGTATATTAATATCCAAAGTCTGGTTCTGTTTTATTCCATTTAAGGGACGGTTATTGATTCCTGGTAAACTTTGCTGTCTTTGATTTACTGTCTGACACAGACCGGTTCCTGACAATTTCTGACTCTTCTTCCTTGTGTAACTTCAGGAAGTGGCATATAAATATAAAGCAGGTGACCCCACATTCACCTGACCTTAAGTGATGCAAAGACTGTTTTCAAAATGCCAGAAATAAGTTTAAAAAATCTCAGTGAAAGGAAAGCTATCCTTCTTTAAAAAATTTTGGTGTTCATAAGATTAGATATATTAGGTATAAGTATTGTATGCCTATCATTCAGTCTGTTTGTTTCTTGATCTATTAAGCTAAAGTCATGACCATTGTACAAGAAAGTAACCATGTAAAGTAAGGTCATACCATATGAGCAGAATTTTTAGTGAGGATTTAATTTTGGCACTATAAGCAAGGGTGTTGAGATTTCTAAGAAATAATTGGATTTTAGCTGTAAAAGCTTACTTAGTGAGCATTTTAAATTCACTTAAATTACATCTCTCAAATTTATGCACAGGTCAAAAGTTAAAAAAGTGATTACCCACTGTAGAAAGTATAAAAGGACCCAATATTGTCATATTTGATTGAATCTAGACCAATGACAAAAAAATTTGAGAAATTTAACCTCTTTCTGTATCACATTTGGTAGATGTCTTTAATTTTAAAGATTATTGAAGTTTGTATGTTTCAAGGGATCTTACCCAATGCCCCTGTGCAATAAAAAAGAAAAAGCCTGGAATGAGATTTTATTCCTTGAATTTTTTTGACATTGGAATGCCAGTGTGTGTGTTCCAATATTGCAGGATTTTAAAATGTTACATATGGCATTTACCTGTATTAAAACAACAATATGCACCAGTCAAGGTTTTAATGACAGTACATTACATTATCTGATTAAAAAAAAAAGTCAGGTTATAACAATGACTTTATCATGAAATATTTTTGTTTTCATTAGAAGAGTATTCTTGTTTATTGAACTTTATTAGAATTTTATGAACATTTTATGGATTTTCTCTCTGTAACATATCTTGATCGACTTAGGGTATACATTTTATTTCTGGATCCCGCATGTTATGCATTTTGCTTACCATGTTTTTGTTTACAGAGACTGCATGTCAAGTTGAAAAAAGTAATCTTTCTCTGTCTCTTAGCCACCTAAACATATTTGTTGTGTTAAAATCTTTCAAGAGGTTTAATCAAAGCAAAAGAGAGTTTTTGAGTGCATCAAATCTGATTAAGTCTTAAGGAGTTATCCCCCTTTTCACACAATTTTTTCTTCTTTGTAATTCAAGCAGCAGTGATCTATTGTTAAAGCACTGTAATTAATACCCTAAGATTTCCCTTATTATTTCTTCCCTAAGGCTATTTATCATAAATTTCCTAAATAAGAAAAGAATGTATGACACCATCTATTCTCTGTGAAAGACCACCTGTTTAAATTCAAGGAGGATAGATTTCGGACAATCTGTCTTGGTCAGTTTGCTTGGCCAGCGGTTGAACTCATTCCACAGTCAGAAGTGTGTCTTAATACTCGCCTATATTCGTTTCTCTTCTGTAATAACTGAATTGATATCTCCTTAGTGAATGGAAGTGTTAATTGGAAACTATTTCCTTGCAATCCAATAAATTTCTGATATTAGTTGTAGAGGAACTGTCAGCATACATTAGCACCCTTCTCAAATCCTACAGACAACTCGGACTAAATTGTGATTTTTTTTTTTTTTTTGACAAGTATTTATCATATTATTCAAAGTATTGTGTGAAAAAAAAGCCGCCAGTTAATTCCTTGTGTACTAGTGTTTGTCATCTCACCTAAGGCTGGCCATTCCTTTATATTGTACCTCCTACGTAATTACTGGACTCTAAGCTATGACCGAAATCGGCTATTTATAGATATTCATGTGATGCCATGAAGTTGGAATGGCCTTTCGTAGTAGGTGTATAAATACTTCAAATGCTATCACGCCAGCATTAAAATACCAAAATGCATGTCCAGAAAGTTTAACTGATGCAAATGGAATGTCAAAGCTGTAAGATGGGATCACAGCCTTTATTTATTTCATTCCAAATGGAAATTAGTTTAACACCATTTATATTTGATAAAGTACAGCAAACCATTCCGTACTTGGTTAAATCAATTTATGGTATAATACTGATAACATCTGAAAATAAATCATATTCCTTTGTAAGATTCATTTTTATTAAAAAATGGAAATTAAATACGTATTTATGCATACATTTTGAACTCAGAATCCTAATTCCCTTTCACTGTAGAACTAGATTTGCCATAAAGGTCATTAAGACAGGTTGATATAATATCTATACAATGTCAAATAATTATGAAATATGTATCGCAGTCAAAGTGTCCAAAATACTCAGAATACGCTTCCAGGCAAGTGGCAGTAACTCTTGTATCTCTTCGCCCTCCTACGTCTTGTTAAAAATTTGCATTCCCAATGATGAAATGATAGTGTCATTTATATTTGATCCTCTGAGCTCATTATCTATGATTTAGAAGAGGGGGCTTCAAGAAAGATTGAAGTTTAAGATTATTGTGTTTGCTCAAGCAGTTTTGTCTTGGAACACATCCATTATATTTATGATAGTCTTTTCTGTATCTCATCATTTTATGAAGTAAGATATATGTGTGGTCTAATTTCCTTTCACAGGATTTTCTTTTCATATTCTATGCTTTATGAAAGAGTGGTTTTTTGTCTGTATGTCTGTTTAGAGTCCTTACCTCGAACAGTTGAACTTTTTATCAAATTTGGACCTCTACAATTTTAGTTATATTGAAAAGTGTTTATTCTAACCAAGAGCAGGAACTTGCATTAGAGTATTTTTTACCCACAGATGTGTAGAGTTCTACAAAACTGTTTTTTAAATTTTGTTTAGCTCAAGAATGATGTTTATTTTGCTATATACAGAGAATTCTAGCTTTTGTTTAATGTTACCAGGTAAAGATGTTTAAACTGCATCAACATCACAGCTAGCTGTACTATTTTTATGAAGGTTACATTTCCCTTCATAACTTAATTTTTATATTGATATTATACTAAGCAGACTTTTGTCTTGCTGTAGAGTTCATTATAACTTGAAGTCACTGTATTACCAATGAGTCTAACAGTGTTTCTAGAAATCAGTTTGAGAGGGCACCCTGAGAAAAAAATGATTTGACCAAATAATAAAGTTTGCTAAATCCAAGTGAACATAGATTGGAGATGATATATGTGCTGTGCACTTGATTTCTTTTGTTTTTTCTTCATCAAATTTTTCTATAAATGGCCTATCAAAGAAATCTGAAGCCTGGGCAAACATAGGGGTAATTCTGCCTGGCTTAATTCTGGGATTTATGATATGACCAATATTAACATTTCAGACGGTAGCAGAGAAGTACAGAGGCAGATATGGCCTGTGTAAAGTCTTGACAAAATTGATCAAATCTGACACTTCAGAGACAGTGTCTGATGATTTCTAAATACATGTAAAACACTTAAATTGTATTTAAATGAATTCCTCTCCATGAAATTCAAATAGATAAGAAATTATATTTTTGCATATTATGTGTTTTTAAGGTGTAACCCTGTATAATGTTATATATGTTCTTTAAAAGGCTCTTGAAGTTTAATAGCTTCTAGTAGGTTTTGTTGAATACAAATCAATTTCAAAATTTTCCATCTTAATTGCATTGAAAAGGAGGAGATTATTAAAATAAGCATTCTGAGAGTGTTGTATTGGTACACGTAATGTTGTTCCTACCAGCACATGTGATTCAGTTCCCCTTAAAAAATCTAAAATACCACTATATCTACAAAAATCATTGAAGAAGAACCAATTGCAAATGTGATGTGTTCAACTCTAACTGATTAAAGGTATTTTTTAAAGCAAAAAAAAATTGGAACAAAAAAGAAAATTCAGTGGATGTGAGACTTTTCAGACAAGAGAAGAGATATATGGACCTCTAATAAATACGGTAAACAT